AAAAGAGCGTTTTACTCTTACAGTTATGGGACAGAACTATGGACAAAGAAACGTAGAAATAAATACATGTGAAAAAAAAAAATATATAAATAAATAGGCTACGTCAATAAATACATAAATGTGGACATAAATAGGCCTAAATGTATAAATAAATAAAATAAAATAAAAATAAATGTGGAAAAAAAATATATATATACGTATATATAAATAAGGAAATAAAAGTATAAATAATTATTATTTATTTATTTTTACTTTTCTTTGTATATTTATTTATATTTTTATTTTTTATTTTTGCTTTTTACATTTCTTTGTATATTTATTTATTTCTAATTTTGTCAGGTTTGGCATTCCTACAGAACAGTGTATTCAGGAAAACTGGATGGTACAGTCAAGCATATAAACTCAAGAGCTCCACTAGACGTTATTTAAACAAGTCGCGTTCTGAGTGTTCGCCCAAACCATGACATGTGACACTGCGACAGTGGTAACCCGGGATTTACAAAGGTACAATATCAAAGCTGAATGCACAGAATTATTTCCTAAACCAGGGTAAAGAGTAAACAGTATATATTTGAATCATCAAAGTATAACTGTCTATGAGAAAAGAAAAACAAATTTGACCTGTTATGATGAAATCTTAGACTTGACCACATGTGCATTTATGAGGAAAGCACTTTTCCTGGAGACCAAATTTTCTACAGTGGTTAACCTCTTTCTGAAAGTTGCATCAAACCTGTATGTCTTCTGTCTCTGTTCTAGTTCTTTGCGCCTGTGCTGTTTCGCCACTCCGGTCTTGTCATGCTGTGGCAATTGAGCTGAAACACAGCAAGCATTAAAACCTTATGTTATGGTAAAGTTTAGGCCTTTATTACAGGAAGAAATTTGCAAGCCAATCAGAACGTACCCCTGCCATCTCTGAGGATCACCTCTTTGTCATCAACTAGCCAGCGAAAGCAGGGGAACTCAACGTAATCTCCACACGGCGTCTTCACCGTGATGTATTTGCAGTGCCAGTCATCATGCACCCAGTATTTCTTCTTTTCAATTTTCACCAGCTCGATTTTGCCCAGGTCTTCTCCCACACTGATGTCATATGAGTCCACCTTGAATTACATCTTATGTTAGATGTTATTGGAATGCAGTGGCTCAAAAAAAGGGGGGAAAGAAACAGGCATGTAGGTTTAACACTCTTCCTGCGAGTGATCATTGTTTTTATCTTTCTCTTATCTTTTGTGTGACTTTAGTGATTAGACTCTCTTAGAGATACACTCTGTGACTAGTTCAAAGATAAGTTTCATCTAAGGACTGTGGTTTGATTTAAAGGATCAGAGAGATTGGCTATAAAGTGTTTTATCATATCACAGTTGAAGTGCGCCACACTGAAAACAAAAATGGTGAAATAATTTTCACTCAGGAAATTGCTTTCACAAATGATAGAATTGGCAAGTAACACACTGAATGAAACAGGAATTTTGAAGTAAAAAGACTGAAATGGTGTGGTTTCTTGTAAAACATGCTAAAATAACTGAAAAATCATTTTTAAGAGTCATAAAGACATATAACTTATAAGACTTTATACGACACATGCAATACACTTATGATGCACTTCAAATCTGACAGTATGTTATGTTGTTGTGAGGAGATTATTTGATTTTTGATTAAAGCCATAAAGCCCTGATCATTGAATTTGGGACAAAACATGCCCAAAATGTGATCTGACATTTTTAAAACAGCATCCTTTCCACCTTTAAATTATTCATTCTTAATCTTAAGATTAAGAAAACTCATACTTGTGGTTTATAAAGCCCAAGCTTTGAGTCAAATTAATCAAAAGCCAAAAAAGAAAGAATACCAGAGCATTAAAAAAAGGGGAAAAAATTGTTGCAATTTTAATTCACAAAGAAAAAGGCAATTAATTTATGCAATATCATTCTTTACATAATTTGCACGATATGTTCAATATAATTCAGATACAATGAATCAAACTCTTCAAAAGGAGCTCAAAGGTCTAATACAGTATAAGTTGCGTTCATATAGGCAAAGACTGTTAGTATCTTACCGCTCCTCTCTCAAAGTCATTATAGAGGGGTTTATCCAGGAGAGTTCTCTCACTGCATCCCTCAGATCCCACCAGGGTCAGATAAATGTAGTCATCTGTTCCAGCAAACCACTGAGAGCCTGTGGCCACAGTCACTGTGTAGTTAGGCATTTTCGTCAAGCTGGAGATCAGCTCTGCAATTGAACTCAAATGGACTTTTCAAAAGTCACACTTAGACTGCATTTCCTCTTCTCTCTCCCATTCTCTCTCTAACTGACTCACTCAAGCCACAGACTTCACACATACTACACGGAAATTCATAGATGTGCTCTTGATTTGCACTGGGGTATAGGCTTTACACAAGTTACTTGTATCAAGAAGTGTGTGTGAATGGCATCATGCAGTTTATTTATGAATTTGATTTCTGTCAATATATTACAGTAAATCACTCTCTACACTTCACAATACAGGAACCAGTTTTTAAGATGCTCTGCCTGGCATGCTTATCAGATATTTTAGTTCTCGTTTTTCTTTAAGGCTTGTCAAGTGTTTTACTTAGATAGAGCGGTTGCTTCACACCTATTTTTGAATATTAGTTGGTCTTGATAGTTTGCAAGGTTTTGTGGTATTTGCCTTGTGGTGTACCAGCTCACATTCTGCTGATGAATACAACCTAATTTGCAATTTGCAAAAAACAAAACAAAACATATATATATATATATATATATATACTATACAACTGTTTTCTAATTTAATATATCTTAAAATGATTGATTCCCGTGATGCAAAGCTGAATTTTCAGCAGCCATTACTCCAGTCTTCAGTGTCACATGATTCTCACATAATTGCAATATGCTGTTTTGCTGCTCAACAAACATTTCTAATTATTAGCAATATTGAAAACAGTTGTGCTGCTTTAGTGGAAACTGTGATACATTCTTTCGGTATTCTTTGATAAAGTAGAATTTATTTTTAAAAATAAATAAAAATAAAAATAATATACTGACCCTAAACCTTTGAAAACATATTAAGTGCACAAATATACATTTAAAAATAATATACTGTATATATATATAAATATATATATATATATATATATATATATATACTATACAACTGTTTTCTAATTTAATATATTTTAAAATGATTGATTCCTGTGATGCAAAGCTGAATTTTCAGCAGCCATTACTCCAGTCTTCAGTGTCACATGATTCTCACATAATTGCAATATGCTGTTTTGCTGCTCAACAAACATTTCTAATTATTAGCAATATTGAAAACAGTTGTGCTGCTTTAGTGGAAACTGTGATACATTCTTTCGGTATTCTTTGATAAAGTAGAATTTATTTTTAAAAATAAATAAAAATAAAAATAATATACTGACCCTAAACCTTTGAATGGTATGTATATGTGTATAAAGTGCTTTAATGGCAATTTTATTCAAAAGTGCAGAAGGACGAAAATCCACACTGGCCAGTGAGCTCTACTTTTTTTTTATGACTCGCATGGTAACATGATAAGTAAGCCATACATACTATAACCAGTGTTGTGTTTGTAACATATTTTCCAGTCAAATAAGATGTCATCAAACATCAGTACCTTACAAACATAATTTCCTCCTAATGCAAATGAATTGCTAGGTGGGAGGTGTATCATAGTAAATGCGTTTCCAAACAAAAATGAGGAAACTTTAGGGAAATCCCACTGAATGACAAATGGTGTAGAATGGGATCATGCAAATACTTACTGGCAATATGTTTTTTAAGTATCTGAAAGCAATAAAGATCAACTCCAGCACAAGACAAAAGCCTTTATTTTTACATTTTTTTTAGAGTTTAACATTGGTTTAACATTTACATTTCTTTAATGATCATCTAAGCATACATACAAATTAATAATCACATGTACAGAACAGGCATTCTCATTGTTCATTTGTTCAATGCCTATAAATCATTTATCAGGCGACTTATCCAAAGCAGCAAGACGAACTTAAGAAAAGATAAGCTTTTTCAGCTCGTGATTCAGCTCGATGGCATTCAGTGCAAATAAACTTGAAATGTGTTCAATGAATCATGACCTTCACTACTCATACATGTATTCACTTAGTAATAAAACTGTATCAGTCGCTGTTTAACCCTTTAACTGTCACCCCCCATTTTTTTAAATAGGCATGCAGGTGCACTATCCAAACTTAAATTGTTGTAATTTATGAACACTTTGGAATACAGACATAAGGTTGGTCTCTTTTTAAAGAAGAAAATCAGCAAATTATCGCAAAAGTGGAATTTTTCTAAAAATTTAAGTATCAAAAAATTATAGTAGATTAAATTTACTGTAAAGAAAATACACTATATTAATTTTATTTTATATATAATAAATATTTTACATATCAGGTTTTACTCTAAAATTGGTATAAAATTATAGCCTTATGTCTAAATAAGTTATGTTCCAAATTTGAAGTTGATATGAAAAAAATGGAGGTTCCTGTGAGATTTTATTTAGGGCGTTATACCACAAACAGCCACCGGGTGCCATCCAAACTCCATTGATTTTTTTAAATGCATTTTTCTGTCACAAATGTCTAGATTTCTCTGTCAATATTACTTCTATCTCAAAATAACCACCAAATATGGAATCCTGAGACTTAGACCTTTCCAATTATATGTTTTTTGTCAAGATTATAAAAAGTTTTGATTCTAAAAGACCGTAATTCATTTTGTAATATGACACTTGACACTGCCCACTAAGGGGGAGGAGACCGCCAAAAGATTGTAAAGTACCATTTCCATGGTAACGCAATGTCTGATTTCGAAATGGTTTTCACAGGATGAATCTTGGGCTTCTAAGCTTTCAAATGATATATGATTTATGATGATTACTAAAAGATTTGATAGAGAAAAAAGACAACAACAAAAAAGAGCGCCAAACGTCCCACAGGTGGGACGGTGACAGTTAAGGGGTTTGTACTCACACGCACATTCATATATTCATAAATGTTTCCATTCATCTTTGGAAACAGGTGCAGTTAAATGATCAACTTGTACATGAACCCAAAAGTCACATTTAAAGAGGTTTAAGGACTCTATTCACTGCAACACTGCAAAAAAAAAATAAAAAATAGAAAGGAAATGAGGCAACCGTTTGAGGGAGCTCATTTCCATACAAAACAAAATAAGGCAATTACTCAACTTTATATTTTTTTAAAATAATAATTCATTTTAATTTTCTTCTGGCCGGGTAAAAGTGTAATGACAGTGCGCTACTCCAATATGAGATTCATAACCCAGGCAAGACAGAACTATTTGTTTTATGACATGTCTTTGACAAATCCTTTGCATATGGAAAGGCAAGTCATTATTTTATTTAATTTAAACATTATTGTATTTAAGGGACTCTTTTAGTTCCCATCACAAATCAGTGAACAATAATTTAAGATTCATATGCATATCAGCTGTGATACGTTCATCACCACACACATGCTCTCTGTGAACAAGCCTGCACTGTAAGGCATCAATCAGATATTAAACTTGAGCCACAGTAACGTCGGCATGCGAACATGACTGAATACTGCATAGACATTATGTACACTCTCTTCCATTCCCTATAATATTGAATTGTAGAGGAAAGTCATCTTTATCACTAAAAGAGACAAATGTCAGTCAATTAGACTTGAGGTGACTCAGATTTGCTGAAATATAAAGCTACATATGAATGAAATGTTCCATATTTCCATATTTGACATAAAAAGTGACGTCATCAGTCATAGTTAAAAGCATTGTGATATAACCGAAACTGTCCACATAGGTAAAATCTCCTGTGATTTCGTGTTTCGCTAACATGAGTGAAAGATTAAGGCATATTGTTCAATCTGAGATGGGATGGCTTTTTACAGGCAAGTTCCAGACGAAGGTTTCCATGGCATTTCCAGTGTCGGTTGTTTCTGATCCACACATAACGGAAAAGCAAGCTTTTGTCTCTGTATCCATAGTGACTGTTGCTGTGCAAAGCCAGGTTTGCCATTTGTGAGGGTGTTTTGTAAGAACTGGAGCTCAGATGACTGGTCACTGGAATGGCAGACAGGGCTGCTGTGATGTTGCCAGGGGTCGTTTCAACTAGTTCCTGTAAGGCTTAGTGACTGCTTGTTCTAGTTTAGGTGAAGAACTTGCTTCATGAACTCATAAGTGGTGAAGGCAACGGCTTGTGACGGTATACAGCGGATGTAGTTGAGGGACAGGCCACGATACAGTCCTTTCTTAACACCATACTGGGTGTACACATGCTTGAGAGTTTTTGTCAGGCTGCTGCTCAAAAAAATCAAGTAAAAACATATTAGTGATCACAGACAAGATTTGATGGAAATTTTGAGTGTAACACGCAGAGATCTAATTGCTATTCATTACTTATATACTTATTAGTATCAATGTTAAAAAATGTGTTACCAATGTTTTTGCTGTTTAATATTTTTAACTAATTTTTTCTGCATTCTTTAATGAAAATTCAAAAGAACAGTATTGATTTAAAAAATCCTTTATATGATTTTACCGTTACTTATCAATTTAATGAATGCTTGCAGAAGAAAAGTATTTTTTTAAACTTATCTTAAACTTCTAAATGGTAGTGTACCACAGTTTCCTCAAACATATTAAGCAGCACAACTGATTTCAACATGAAAATGTTTCGAAAATGTTTCGAAAAGTAACTGCTCAACCAAATACAGAAATGCGCAAATATACAGACCACAACAAGCAGGATTCTACATTCTACATGTACAAACTGTTTTTGTTTGTGTTGTGAGAATTTGCAGCGCGTTTCTGTATTTGTTTGTGTTGTGAGAATTTGCAGTGCGTTTCTGTTTTTGTTTGTGTTGTGAGAATTTGCAGTGCATTTCTGTATTTGGTTGTGTTGTGAGAATCTGCAGCGCGTTTCTGTTTTTGTTTGTATTGTGAGAATTTGCAGCGCGTTTCTGCATTTGTTTGTGTTGTGAGAATTTGCAGCGCGTTTCTGCATTTGTTTGTGTTGTGAGAATTTGCAGCGCGTTTCTGTTTTTGGTTGTGTTGTGAGAATTTGCAGCGCGTGTGTTGTCAAATTGATGAAGATGTTTTCTTAATTTGCAGCGCGTTGAGCTCTCTCGGCCACCGTAAGCATCGCCATTCAAGTCAGCATAGGGGTGGGCGATATGAGCTAAAATTCATATCACGATATTTTACACTGTCCAGGCGATATCGATATTATATTGCGATATGAGAAAAAAAAATTACAGGCAAAATATTTTAACCTTATATAACTAGAAAAAGTGAGGGATTGGACAAAGACCTGAAAAGTATTTTTTTATTGTGCCATTGTTTTTTTTCAAAAAGTGCAAATGTGCAACATGAGGTAGGCCTGTATGAATTAAATTAAATTAAATATTGTGTTTGAGTTGGCCAGTGCTTCCCAAACTTTTTCTGCCGGGCCCCCCTTTTGTAGAGAAAAATATTTTAACCATTTCTAACCATTTCTGATTATTATCAATGTTGTAAACATTTGTGCTGCTTAATATTTTTGAGGAAACTATTTTTTTACGATTCTCTTAGTTACGAATATTTGAAATTGTTCTTTGTGTCAGAGCTGCAGCGCGTTTCTGTTTTTGGTTGTGTTGTGAGAATTTGCAGCGCGTGTGTTGTCAAATTGATGAAGATGTTTTCTTAATTTGCAGCGCGTTGAGCTCTCTCGGCCACCGTAAGCATCGCCATTCAAGTCAGCATAGGGGTGGGCGATATGAGCTAAAATTCATATCACGATATTTTACACTGTCCAGGCGATATCGATATTATATTGCGATATGAGAAAAAAAAATTACAGGCAAAATATTTTAACCTTATATAACTAGAAAAAGTGAGGGATTGGACAAAGACCTGAAAAGTATTTTTTTATTGTGCCATAGTTTTTCTCAAAAAGTGCAAACATGCAACATGAGGTAGGCCTGTATGAATTCAATTAAATTAAATATTGTGTGTTTGAGTTGGCCACTGGTTCCCAAACTTTTTCTGCCAGGCCCCCCTTTTGTAATGAAAAATATTTTGAAAGCGTACCAAATTGAACAAAACAATATAAATGCAAAATTTGAATTCGTGAATATATAACGGTATCCACGGTATAGCAAAATCCGTATCATGGAACAACATAATACCGGTAGTCACTTTCATACCGGTACAGCGCCCACCCCTAGTCAGCAGGAAGAGTCAAACAGTTTACTAAATGGTGGCAACTTCTTTAAGTTATTCTTTACTGTGTTGTATTGACTGCTTTGATGAGTTGCAATACGGTATGGCATTGTTTTGATTCTAACATCAGAAAAAAAAAAGATTTTGCTTTTATTTAATACATTTTATTATTTTATTTTTCTTGCACACACACTCACACACATATTTAGCAGTTATCTGCCATCACCCACCTCTCTTATAATGCCATACCTCTCTTATAATTTACTTACCATTTTCACCAGTGTAAATCATCGAGGGAACAAAGACTTAAAATCATCCAAATTATATAATACTCACCAACATTTGTCAAAATCAGGCAGTGACGACCCTAACTGCATTCTCCTCCGGGCAACATCTAGTGGATATCTGTGCAGAAATATTAGAAAGAATGTTTTATACAGAATGTAAAATGTATGTACAGTAACTCAAATGCATATATGTAGCATACCTTTTATTATTTACTTCAGTTTAAAACTAAATAATGGTTGTAAAATAGAAAACTACAAACAAGGGATTTAAAAACAAAATAAACATACGAAATAGTTTGAGCAATTGCTCCAGCAACTCCACCACACATCAGATTGACGTGAGTCTTCAGCACTAGAACATCAGGGTTGTCAAGCGACGGCTTGCCTAAGAGCTCTGGAAAGCGAGTAAGTCCCAGAGTCTTCAATGTACCAAAAGTGAAAAATGAAAAGCCTGGAACATAGAGAAAACAGTGACATCAGGAAGTAAACTAAAGTAAAAATCTTTTTCAGTTGTGTGAAAAGTGTTCAAAAAGTGTTTCTGCACATTGTACTGTATAATTTACATAAAATAAACAAGAAAATAACCTGCATATGGAGCCATGCCAATGATTGTGGGGGTCAGACCATGGTAGAATCCAGAGATTCCTCCTTCCTTTAAAGATAAAACACTGTCATGCAAAAGGGAAGCACAGAAAGGTTCTCAATTAAACTTCTTTCCTGTCTTCATACCTTAAGGTAAATAGTCTGAAAGGCATTTCGTATGCCAGTGTAGCGATGCTCTCCTGTCACTTGAAACGCCAAGCGTGCTCGGATAACATCGAGTGGATAAGTGAAAATAACTGCAGTCATCCCTGCAGAAAGAATATAATGCAGATAAATACATAACACTTATCATGAAGTTACAAAGATCTTGGAAAAGAGTCATGGAAAACAATCCCAAACCTGCCATAGATCCTGCCATGAGCCGATGAATATGCCCAGATATTCCAAGTTTTGTGTTAAGGAACTGAAAGTACATCAGAAATAGCTTAGTGCAAGCATTACATAATCTAAACAGAGTGTAAACTTGGCATTAGTACAAAACTTTGTATTGTTAACACTGAAGTTGGGAAAGCTACATTGAAATTGCTACAAGGTACTGAAAAAAAAAAAGTTAAGCTACTGACAAAAAGTGACCATATACAGTAATTTCAAATATATAACCATTAGATAAAATAATTTATTTTACTCAATATAATTGAGTAGTATTTATCAAGCCCAATCTCATTTGTAGAGATACATTTACAATGAATACAACTAATAAAAAAGTGGAAAACTGTGTTATTGATACCAGAATAAAACATAAAATGCCCCACACAAACTACCTCAACTTCTCAAATAAATCTGTGAATCCTTTTTTGAACTGGATCACTGAAATAAATCATGAATTAACCAAATCCTTCAAATGAATCAGACTAGTGCTTCACTTGAGGACAGTTTAGGAGATTGCGTTTGATTATTGCCTATTTTTATGCCTGCATGTGCAATACAATGTGTCAAAAACCACAGAAGTAGTACTGGAAAAGCTATGGTATTCTGAACAACTGTCACACTACTAAAAATATAGCTATGTTAGGAACGTCACTATGTTTAGTTTGTTATTCCCCAAGACTATGAAACAAAAGTTACCTTTTTGTAGTTATCAAAAGCCATAAACTGAATGGCTCCATATGGGAAAATCCTGATCATCATGGCTCCATTTCCTTTGTATAGTCCAAGGAAACCCTCTTTTTTTGGCACTGCCTTAAGTGTGGCAAACACTCCTGGGAAAAAAAACAACACAATATAACATCAACACATTCAACCGTTTGGTGTATTCTAATGCATAGTTCTTTTACAAATCAAGTTGCACGAAAATATCTGTCCATCAGAAACATTCTGGGTTTAACTTACCAAGGTGTTTGTAATGAGGATTTTGAGCTTGTAGTAAAATTTTCACTCTATCGAGAGGCGCTATGGTGGACTTGGCACAGCATCCTGCAACACCTAAAAATAAAAAAATAAAAGGATTAATGTTTAATCCATAAGTAATTCATTTTAAAGTAAAAACAATCATAATAACACACTCACTAGAAAAGATTACATATTTTATTTGTCTACCTGCATGTCATGTGACCATTAAAGGAATAGTTCTCCCAAAAATGAAAATTTGCTGAACATTTACTCACCCCAGGCCATCCAAGATGTAGATTTATAATTTGTTTCTGCATCAGAACAGATTTTGAGTAATTTACATCACTTGTTCACCAGTGGATGCTCTGCAGTGAATGGGTGCCGTCAGAGTGAGAGTCCAAACAGCTGATAAAACCATCACACTAATCCACACGACTCCAGTTCATCAATTATCATCTTGTGAAGTGAAAAGCTGCATGTTTGTAATAAACAAGTCCATCATTAAGACGTTTTTAACTTCAAAACCATTGCTTCCAGCTAAAATACTAGACTCACTATCCATAAGATTGCTTCCTCCAGTCCTCTCATCTGAATCGGGAGAGAAATATGCACAGATCAAGCACTGTTTACAAGCGAAAACAGTTCTAAAAAATTATGTTGGTGAATATTGAAGTGAGAGGACAACAGGGGATGGACGTTTTCACTAGAGGAAGCGTTATTATGGTTTATGGACTTGTATTTTGGCCAGAAGCGACTGTTTAACTTTAAAACGCCTTCCAATGCTTAAAACAAATGTGTTTCTTTCAAACACGCAGCTTTTCACTGCACAAGACATTAACTGATGGACTGGCGTCGCGTGGATTATTGTGATGCTTTTATCAGCTGTTTGGACACTCGTTCTGACGGCACCCATTCACTGCAGAAGATCCACTGGTGAACAAGTGATGTAATGATACATTTCTCTAAATCTGTTCTGATAAAGAAACAAACTCATCTACATCTTGGGTGTACTTCAAAAATTAATTAATGCATATAAGAGCAGCTGAATATACATGCTTTAGTACATCACATTTTGTGATTAAACTTCACCTCCAGCTGCGAAAGAGCGTAACCAGTAGTAGTAGTCTTTCTGGACAGGAGCTGGGATCTGAGCTCGAGTCCCTGAGGACACAGCCTCTGTCGTCATGATGGCTGCTATCAGGACTGCAGTACATCCATGTCTTCAACACACTCTGGAATGGAGTAAACAAATGTGTGCATTGGTATTATTATGCCACAATTGATCTGTGCCATGGGCTGGACTATGCACACAGGAAAGTCATATCAGTCATAAACAGTTGGACAGCGTTGTAAATGTATTACTTTACGAGTCATTGGTTTGGGGAAATGTTAACAGATTCAGTTCACTAAACTAGAAAGGTAAACCAAATCATATACAGGTGCCATCCATATAAGTGAGTAACAGGTTGGGGAAGAAGCCGACTATAAAATGAATTAATTTTACTTCAATGTAATAACGACATTTCCAGTTCTTTAACATTAATATGGAATTCTGTATCAATACTTATGTAAAGTCAAATTACTCGAGACATAATTTATTCTGGCTCCTAAATGCCTTTAAAAACACTGTGCTGGTACCATGGTATCACATGTCAATACCATAGTAATATACAGGTCATGGAACTGAATGATTACCATATTCACGTCAAAAACTACCATGGTAAATGTCCAGAAAACGTGGTACTTTTTGCTACTTTCTGTTAAGTTTGTAATTTTCTGGTATGCTTTTTTTCCCGCAACTTTGGCCAAATGTGATAACATTTCGTAACGTGCGCAAGCATTTATAACGGTATTGTAGCACACAACAGCAGTGTTCCCACACTGTTACCTTGGTTACTGCTGTTCATTCCGTGCGTCAACCGTTCTTATTAACTTACACCAGAGACAGATTTCACTTCTCATGCAATTTAATGAAAGATTTCACTCCTCATGCAATTTACACTGGACTGTTTGCATCATTCACAAACATAAGTTTTCAGTAGCTCTGACCTGAATTCTTGGAAACAGATGAAATAAATTCTGGCTAAAATCAAGGTCATTGGTTACACAACTGTATACTATATGTGGACCTGTGTGATACTGAAGCTGTCAGCTCTTCCCGTTATAAACACTGCGTCTGAACAGCGTAAATACTATACGTCAACGACGACAAAACTATTCGCTCTGCATTAGATCCATACGTATTTAGTTATTTGTATTTAAACGATGTACTTACATAAAACACAAATCAAAGAACTGGAATACATTTTTTCACGTGTTTGTCGGCAGTATCGTGCATATCGTGTCCTTCACTGATTCGTTTCCTGTCGCAGAATTACTACGTAATTGCGTGTCAACACACCGCACCCAGAGCTGTAGAGAGAGAGAGTTGTGCGGATCGTGGAGCCGCTCAATAGTTCCGGAAGTTAGCGCTCATACTATCAGCGCCGTAGAGATGCAGCAGAAGAGACCGCTGTGATGAACTTTTAAAAGGTATGACATTTACAGAACAAAATTGTATATTATCAGCACAGCTAATCAAATTACCCTGTGCATTAAAACAGATGATTATTAGATTATTCCTCACTTAATTAGTAGATTTACGGGATGTTATTCATTCTCTTCATATACATTATTTTATAAATAATGTAAATAAATTATTTTATTGTCTACTAATTACCAAAAATCACAGTTCTGTCTCTCCAACTCAATGTATTTCAATTGCCCGCTATGAACTTCCTGGAACTATTTGAGGTCTACGTGAATCACGTGACGATCGAGCGTTTGGACTTCCGTTGACGCAACTCTCTCTTTCTATGGCTCTGACCGCACCACAGCATTTTATTTTGTGTGATTTTCTTAACATTCATCTACATTACATTCATTAATCAGATTTAGTATTACAAAATATTACATATAATTTTTGGCAATACTGTGTATTGTAAGTTTTTTTTATTGTTATGTGAATTAAAATGAATTAATGTTAATCACGATGATGATGATTTTGATTGTTGTTGTTGATTGCATTCATCTTATTCTTTTTAGGAATTATTGTCTATATAAGAAAACTGCATAATATATAAATATAATAGGCCTATATAAGTATAATAATAAAAAATAATAATGTATTGTAATAATGTATTATTATTATTATAAGGCACAATAGTTGCCTCACCATAATAATAATATAATAATAATAATATATAGTAGTAGTAGTAGTAATGACAATGCTAATACTTTTAATAGTTATATTCTATTCATCAATTTTTGTGGAATGATTGTCTGTATATTAAAATTGCCTAATAATATAATAATAATACATATATAATTGTCATATTTCTATGCTTCATAAGAACAGATTCTCAAGCTCATTCCAGACAAAGGTTCTGCTGGATTGGTCAATTCAGAAGTGACGATAGTCATAGTGAATTTACGTCATCTCAAGTCGTGGCACACGCATTTAGATGTGTTAGCAGTTAGCTCAAAGCACGGTGAGTTAGCAGCCTAAAAACTGATATGATAGATAGACTGATTTCTATGAAGGTATTTTTGGTGCAAAACAATTGAGCGTCCGTGACAGCGGAATTTGTCGTTGTAGAGAATAGCCACACATGTGTATCAGTAAATCTGAAGTCACAGACAAAAGTTGCAAACTTGTAGATATTTTTTTCTCTTCCACAAACACAACACAACAGTTACACCTTCTTGAATCCTTCACTGCAGGTGCACAAATCCTATTCTACGAATCACAAATCAAGAAACTCGTACGCTCACATGTTTTGCTAATATTGCTGCAATGAATATGGTGTAAAACACATTCACACACCTGCATCAAAAAATGTGAAGTCACGGACGAATTTTGTACATCCGCAAATCAGTTTGTGAATTCTTGCAATGAGATTTGCACACTTGTAGAATGTTTTCTTACATATATATTTTTTTCTTGGATGCTTTTTCTAGCACAAACACAAGTGCATAACTACAACGGCGTGAATCTGCTGCTACGAGTCTCAAACACTGTTTTGTCGCTTGCAAATGACAAGTTTCACGCTCTCTCCCTTTTGCACCACCTATCTGTGTGAAAAATGGTGCAAAAGTGATTTGTGCATCTGTAGAGGCAACGGCGGGCACTGTTCAGAGAGCAGAGAATTTCGGCCAATCAGAAGAGCTCATTTGGGCGCCTGAAACACGCCCCCTAGTTTTAGCCACAACCCCGAAAAATCGCGAGCTGCGAGCATCTTGACAGCGACAAGTATCAAAAAAGGTACGTGGGTATTTTTTCTTTCTGAAATCATTTGTTTATAGCTTAAATATAGCTACGTTGGTAAACAGTGTTTCTTAGTTAGGTTAACAAATCTTATTTCACGAAAGGTAAGCTAACGTTAGCCTACCTGCACTGTTAAGTTTGCTATTCAATCGTCTCGTATTAAATTACACTGTCTAATATAACGATTTATTCCTTGTATTCTGTTATGCTTTACCTTATAGAAAAATGACAGATCAGGGTGC